ATTTTTAAAAATATAAAAAACAGTGGTTCATAAAACTTCCCTTTAAAAAAAAACTACAAAGAAACACACACACACACACACACACACACACACACACACACATATTACTTGCTAAAGTAACCTTTTATTCATCTGCTCCTATAAGACTCACAGGAAGAGATGGAAAGTATAGCTACATATCAGGAAGACACAAAACTTCCTGACATTAAAACAAAATGAAGCAACCACCTTTCTATCAGTGGAAGCATTTACTAACAGTTATTTTAAGAAAATGTCCACTTGAAAATTTTTTTCTATCCTCACCTGAGAATATGTTCTTATTTATTTGACAGAGAGGAACATCGGTGTGAGAAATACTGATTAGTTGCCTCTCACCCACCATGGACAGGGAATCAAACCTGCAACCTGGGCAAGGGCCCTGACCAGAAATAAACTTGAAACCTTTTGGTGTACAGAATGGCATTATTACAAACTGAGCCACCAGCCAGGGTTCTACTTGAATTTCTCTTCTTTTCTGTTTAAAATATATTTTTATTGATTTCACACTGCCCTGACCAGGAGTCGAACTGTGACCTTCTGGTTTATAGGTAGATACACGGAGCAATGCCAGCAGGGCTCGACATGTATTTCTTAATGCATCATCAAAAAAAAAAAAAAAAAAATCCTGTCGCCCTATCCGGTTTGGCTCAGTGGGAAAGAGCGTCAGCCTTTGGACTAAAGGATCCCATGTTCAATTCTGGCCAAAGGCATATATCTGAGTGTGGGCTCGATTTCCCCCAGTAGGGGGCATGCAGGAGGCAAACAATCAATGATTCTCATCATTGATGTTTCTACCTCTCTCTCCCTTCCTCTCTAAAATCAATAAAAATATATATTTAAAATAAAATTAAAAAATCCTGTCATTACTTTACAGGTACTTTCATGAAGTACATGAGCTGGAGTAGATAATCTAGGGGATATACTAAATTGAACAGTAGAAGAGTTTTGTTTCTAAGAACAGATTCACATGAATTCAGTATAGATGACCTTGTTTTCTGAACATCTTGCAAATAAAACTATACATGTTAATTGTTTCATAACATTGGACTACTCTAATCATTACAGTTAAAGATAATCAGTGACGGCAACTCTGCCTCATTGAGGATGTAAAAAGATTGCCTTAACTATAAAACCAAATACCTCAGTCTTATTCATAAAAGAAATGCAAATTAAAATGATCACCCAGTTAGCACCCAGTTGTTGGAAAAAAGCAAACAGTTTCTTAATACACTCTGCTGGTGAGCCCTGGGAAATGGGCCTCTCACACACTGTGTATTAGGAATCTGGGTGCCCTTTAGCTGAGTCCCCTGGCTCAGGGTGTCTCGCTAGGCTGCAATCAAGGTGTCACCTTGGGTCTACAGTCATCTCAAGGCTGAACTGTGAAAGTGTCTACTCCTAAGCTCACTTCTTGTGGCTGTTGGCAGGCATCAAGTGCTTGCAGGCTGCTGGCCAAAGTCAATAGTTTCAAGTCACATGGGGCTTCTTTATAGGGTTACTTTGCTCTCCTCAGAGTGAGAGCTGTAAAAGACAGCGAAGAATGGGAGAGCAGAAGGAGAAGAGGACAGGAGATAAGAGACAGGTTTTTATTACCTAACTAAAGGCCCAATGCTTGAAATTCTTGCAAGAGTAGGCCTTCCTTCGCCTGGCTGCCTGCGCTGGCTTCCCTCTGGCACCTGGGATCCGGGCTTCCCTCACAGCCCCGGCTTTGTCCAGAAAGACCCTTGGTCTAATTAGCATATTATTATATATTTGGGAAGTGACATTCCATCACGTGTGCTGTATTTTATTTTGTTGAAATAAATCACTAGCTTAAGCCCACACTCAAGTGGAGGGGATTCACAGGGTATGAAGACTAGGAATCATTTGACCCAGTAATCCCACTTCTAGGAATGTGTCCCTAGAAAACAGAAATACCAATCAGAAAGAATATATGCACTCCTATGTTCATAGCAGCACATTTACCATAGCTAAAATTTGGAAACAGCCTAATTGCCCATCAGCAGATGAGTGGATTAGAAAACTGTGGTACGTCTACATAATGGAATACTATGCCACTATAAAAAAAAAGGAATTCTTACAATTTGCAACAGCATGGATGGAACTGGAGAGTATCATGCTAAGTGAAATAAGCCAGACAATAACCATGGAGGGTTGTCTTAAAATATCCAGGGAGGTAAGTCTCACAGCCCTTTTGTCATTTCTAGATATAGAAATAGTCCCAGTAATATTGGCAAAAACCAACATGTATTCATGCTTCCTCTGTGCCAGGCACATGTTCTTTTCATGTACGATACATTTACTCCTTATTAAAACCCTAAGAAGGAGCAATCCTTACCCATACTTTAGAGGTGAGGATACCAAGCGGCAGAGAGGTGAAGGAATGTGCCAAAGCCATGTAACTCAGAATTAGCAGAGTCAGGATTTGATCTCTGGTGGTCAGTCTCCAGAGTTCAAGCTCTATACCACCAAACCACACTGCTTTTAAACAGCTGCCTAGGATTTCCCAAGCTCATAACTCAGTTTCTCCCTCTCTGCTTCCCTTTCCTCTGCTGGGGCTATAGGTCACCAGGCAGGTATTCTGATGGATGCTTGTTAGAAGAGGATAAGGTAAGAGTTGAGAAGTTACCTAATATTTATAAACTAGAAGTCTGATGCATGAAATTGGTGCATGGGAGGGGGTGTCCCCTCAGCCCAGACTGCACCCTCTCCCATCTGGGACCTTTTGGGGGATGTCCAACTGCTGGTTTAGGCACAATCCTGAATAGCTGGTTCCTAATCGTTCACCCACCCGCCTGCCTGCCTGCCTGCCTGCCTTGTCTCCCCTAACTGCCTCTCGCCCCCCCACCGGCCTGATTGCCCCTCACTGCCTCTGTGTGCTGGCCTGATTATCCCTAACTTCCTCCCCACTGCTGGCCTAGTTATCCCTCATGCTCTCTCCCCACCCCCCAATGCAACCTGCTTGTTCAGTCCTTTGGTCATCCCTCACTAACCCCCTTTCTGGCCTGGTCATAGGCAGCCATCTTGTGAGGGTGTGAGGGTTAGCTTGCATATTACCTCTTTATTATATAGGATTATTATATAGGACTAGAGGCCCAAATGCACGAAATTTCTGCAAGGGGCTTGGTTCTCACAGCCTCTGCTGCCTTGGCCAGCCTTTGCCGCCCTGGCTTCATCAGGAAGGTCCTCTGGTCCTAGTCTTGCTGTTCAGTCTAATTAGCATATTAGCTCTTTATTATATAGGAGGATGCCAATTATATGCCAGACTCTGGCAGCTCCCTATTGTGGTCAAGTTGTTATTTACCTAATAAATGGACAATTAACTGTTAATTTACATGAAAAGTTTTTTACTGAGTGTTAATTATACTGAAAGCTCTGTGCCTCCCCTTAATGGAAGGGGCTTACATCAGAGCAATTCTAGAGTCCCTGTAATTAACACTTATTTTGAGTTTAGTCTACCGTGCTTTCTTTTTTGAAGGAAAGTATAAAAAATGCAGCCTAGACGTGCAAAAACTCCCATAGAGGAATCTTAGGTCCGTTATTTACTAAACAGAGACTTGGGTAAGAGCTGAAAAGTCCGCGTGTGGCAAGTTGAACAGTTTCCCTCGTTTGATGTAATGTCCGCAGCCTTTAAAACGCATTCCTGCGTTTACCTTTATTTCCAGTGAACAAACTTTATTTTTGCAATTAGAAAAATACAAGAAGTGAAAAAAAAAAAAAAAAAAAAAAGCGAGACAAAAAATCGCACTTCTCCAGCTCCCCGAGGTCTTTTCAGAGCTAGGGGCTGACTGCGGGGCTCCCAAGAGTTTTCCGCACCCGCAAACTTGTCTCCGATCACAAGCCGGTTGTGGCAGGACGCGGGGCACTGCTCGCGGGGCGGACCGCGGCGTCCTCACCCGCAGCCCACTCGTTGCACCGGCCGCCGGGCGCTCGGGGCGGCGGAGCCCCGCGGGCCAAACACGCGCGGCCGGGACGAGGTGTGGCGCGCCTGCGCGCTCAGTCACGTGGCGCGGGGGGGGGCGCTCCACGCTGAGCGGGTTAAAAGTCGCGTCCACGGCGGACCCGCGAGCTCCTGGCCGGTCTGCGGGGCGCTCTCCGCGTCCTTTAAGCCGGTTTTGACGGAGGCCGCTCCGCTGCTGTGGATCTTATCTCCCCACACCCTTCGGCTCGGCTCCACGCAACGAGCGGATCCGCCCAGCACCCTTCCTCGCCGAGTAACGCAGGAGGAGCGCGAAACCGCGTCTTTCAACTGACAATGAAACCCTAACCTCCCCGCACGGCCGCTCCGGGCGAATGCGCGCGAGGCCGGGAGGGGGAGGGGGAGGGGGAAAAGGGAGGGAGTAAACGGTTGGGCTAAGCCCCGCCCCCAGCTCGCGCCCCTATTGGCAGGCTCCACGGCTCTGGGCACGCCCCCTAACGGACCTGTCGCATTGTGACAGGTGGAGAAGCCAGTTCCTGTTGGGCAGGGGGCGGGGCCAGGGGCTGGCTGAGCTCCGTCCGGGCTCCGGGGCGCTCCTCCTTCTCCTGCTCCTCTCGGCGGGGCAGGCAGGCGGCGGGTGTGAGGAGGAATGTCATTGCTGTTACGGCTCGAGGTGCTGCCTCCGTCCGCTCCCGCTCCTCCTCTGGCGCCCTCGTCCCGTCGGCTCTCGCCGCTGCCGCAGCTGCCCCGGGGACACGTATGGCTAGTGGGGCGCTAGGGCCAAACGAGTTGAGAGAGCGGCGGTTGCGGCCGCTGCGGAGGCGTAGACTCTCCGCCGCCGCCTCCACCTCCACCCCCTGTTTCCCGGCCTCGCGGCGCTGAAGGCGGGAGCGCGCGCGCCGGGCGCTTCCCTCCTCCTCCTTTTTATTCTTCCTCCTCTTCCTCCTCCTCCGGATCCCCGCCCAGCACCCCTCGCACCAGGCGGCCGCGGCGGCGGCGGCGGCAGCGGCGGCGGCGAGGAGCGAACCCGCCGCCGGGGCACAACATGGCGGAGCCCTCGGCCCCGGAGAGCAAGCACAAGTCGTCCCTCAACTCGTCTCCGTGGAGCGGCCTCATGGCCCTGGGCAACAGCCGGCACGGCCACCACGGGCCCGGGGCCCAGTGCGCGCACAAGGCGGCGGGCGGCGTGGCGGCGCCGCCGAAGCCGGCCCCCGCGGGGCTGTCCGGGGGGCTGTCGCAGCCGGCCGGCTGGCAGTCGCTGCTCTCCTTCACCATCCTCTTCCTGGCCTGGCTGGCCGGCTTCAGCTCGCGCCTCTTCGCCGTCATTCGCTTCGAAAGCATCATCCACGAGTTCGACCCGTGGTGAGTGCCCCGCCGCCCCTCCCCCGCCCGCCCGCGGCCGGCGGGGACCCCCTCCCCGCTCCCCGCTCCCCGCTCCGTCTCCTCCCCCAGCGGAGGTGGGCGCGGGTCCCCGAGTTCCGGGCGAAGTTTCCCCCGAGCAGCCTCCCCCTGGCGAGGCGTTGGGGTCCCGGACAGGGACCTAGGACCCCCTCCCCCCCGGCTGGGCCAGGGTGACCACCCCGGGGAAGGGTGAGCGAAGCCCCCTGGCAGCCGAGGGCTCGGGTCCCAGGATCCCGACGGGCCACGGCGGGAGCTGGCCGGCCGACCGACTGGTGGCGGGCGGACTCCCCTGCCTTCCCCGCCCGTGGCTATCGCGTTCTTTCATTTTTAAAAAAAATTTTTTTAAAAAAAATTTTATTTATTATTTTTGCGGTCGCGTGTTTGCTGCTTTTGGGATGGGATCGGCCGCGGGGATTGCCCTGTTGCGGTTCGGGATGAGTCCAGATGTGCAGGAACCCTCCCTGCCTGCTCAGCCTCGCTGTCTTCATGCTTTTACCGTTTCTCTTTTTTTTCTCTCTCTCTCTCTCATTATACAAGAAGGGGAGAAGAGTGAGCGAGGTGTTGTAGGAAAAAGAATATCCCTGAAAGTGACCTGAAAGCTAGGGACTCTTATTTAACATTAGATTTTTTTCAAGAGTGTTTTTTTTTTTTTTTTTTTTTTTTTTTTTTTTTTTTTTTTTTTTTTTTTTCCCAAGGCCCTTAAGTGCACTCAGCCCCGCACTGTTCCCCAATTATCTCGGGTCGCTTTTTAAAAGAGCAAAATCGTTCCTCTGTTATAGCCAAACTGTCACCCTCAGTATGTGGTGCACGATATCCCAGAGCATGGCGTTAGTTCCTTTATTGGTCTCCGCGGGAAGGTGGAGAGGGAGCCCCAGATTACTACCGACTTGCACATGGTATCGCGGTTGACCTGAATGCTTTAGTAAATTACCCCATTAAGAGCACCAGTTAATTTAGTCACTCTACTAGTCTGTGACTTATCTAGAAGAAGATTGCTTTAATTTATTTTCTAACTTGCGAAGCTGAGTAGTTGTTTTTTCAACCTGAGCCTAACTTAATTTATTTCTCTGACCTATCAGCCTTGATGAATCTTAACTTGCTAGACCTTAACTAAACTTTCGAACATTTATCATTTGAAATGCAGAGAGAAAATCTTGAGAGTTACTAAATACATAGTTAATAAATGTTTTGTGGAGTAAGTTACCCATATATCAAAGTGCTGTGTTTGGAGTTGTGTTATGAATAGAAAAATTGATAGTACATCATGTATTGAACACCAGAGGGGCCCACTTAACTCCATTTAGGATAACAGTTAATTACTGACATTCTTTGGTGAAAAATTTAATCCCATTTTAGAGGTTTTGTGTTTTTTTCCCTAACACCTTTTAGAAAATAACTTTTGTTTGTTTGTTTGTTTTCAAGTTGTGGAGACCTTATTATATATTTATTACAGAGTTAGAAAATAACTTATGTTACCTGGAACCACAGAAGGAAGGAAATTATTGTAAAGCTTTGTGCTAGACCCAGTATTCTTAGTCTTCCTTTTGAAACACCAAATTAGATAAAAATGAAATTGGAACCAGAAAATGAAAACTACTAGTATTATACTGAACAGTGTGAAAAGAGAAAGTTTTCTTCAGATTACTACAACTGAAGTTTGTGGCTGACCCAACATTATTGATAACAAAAATTATATTTTCAGAGTATCATTTTTACAAACTGGAAGGCCAAATATAGTTCAGTAGTAATAATGAGGCTAAAATTAAGGGTTGTAGAAAAAAATTCACTGCTGAACAATGAAATGGTTTTGAAGATTAGAAGTCTGCATCAAGTTATCCAAAGATTACTAATGAAATTGAGTATTGTAATCATGGAAAATCTTAATGGGTTGCTTCACAGATTATTTATATATGTATTATATATGTATATACATTTTTAAGTATGGCAAAAAAATTTTTTCTTTTTCTGGTTTCTAGAAAATACTTGAATAACCCTTTTTTATCCACAATAACATTTGTTTAACTTATATTTTCCTTTGTATAAAACACATTTCAGAAACTTTTTTTTCCATAAACATTCTTTAGCTAAATGTTTAACATCTGAATTCTATGACACATACACGAATTTAAAAGTGTACACACCTCTTCAGTCTTAGAGATCTACTTTAGATGTTCTGTTTATTGATAGTTTCAGCATTTGTATTTCCTTATATTTCTGTTTATACTGTTAGGGAATTCTGATTAGTAGTTAATATCCCTTTGTTATAAATTGTTTCTATTCCTAATTGGGAACAGATAAACCTAATGTGTTAAGTATAATTCAGGTAACTTTAATGAAAGCATTAGGTTTAAGACAAAAAGAAAACTCGTTTGCTCACTCTTCAGATCTTTTAAAGATTTCCAATTGTTAGGATTCTCATTCTTATATTGTTTGAAAACTTATATAAGAGGCAGTTACGTGTAGATTGCCTGTCATTCATAACTTCAGATTTTTAAAGCAGTTGTCCTTCAAAGCTACTACTAATAGTACCAATACTTTGATCAACTAATATCTTAGGGTTATATATAGCAATGGACATGAACCTTTAATAATTTTTTAATGTTTTTTCTCAAGTTCTATATCTACAAAGCAGTTTATTCTGGCCTTCCCTGGTCCCTTTTTCCATGTCTCTGTTCCTGGCTTCATTTCTGAAGTATTTTTAGTGAAAAGTTTACTTTCTCTGATTGTTGTTTCTATAATTTTTACTGTTCTTATGTAAGACTCTAGTTAGCTGTTGAAGGTTACTCATTGTCAAAGCTATACTTTTTTTTTATTGTCATGGTTTTGTTTATAAATCTTACCGGTTATAAGGGGTGGTATATGATGTTGAATATCATCTATTTATTGAATTTTAAAGTACAATGTATATTTTTAGAACTTAGCAACATTTTTGGTAATGATTTTCTTGTCACTTCACTTCAGTAATTTCCTTCCTTATCAGTTGAGTTGATCAGACATGAGGAAGCAGTTTGAAAATGTTCTCTCCACTTGCCAAACATTTGGTTGACCAACTAGTTTTACAGCACCAGATATTATTTCATCTTATTTTTATCTGGATTAAAATGTAGTTTCTACTTATTTTTGTTGTAATTATTATACTTTCATATTATATTAACCAAGTATGTTTTCCATAGCTTGTATCTTGGTAAATTAGGGTAGCTTTCCTCCCAAAAGCAATGTAAAGTCACCCTATGTAAGGAGAACTGCCCTTTTTCGTGCCTGCCCAAGGGTTATAGTGGGTTCTCCCTGGAGCTGTAGAGAGAATTCTCTGAGCTTTGAGTTTGGGCCCCAGTTAGCTGTAAAAGGACACCAGATGACTTTTTTGGAGGGCAGAAAACTGCAGAGTAGAGTTGAAATTTGGAATGCAATGCTTCATAGATACTATGGTATATTAGTACAAAACATGTTTTAAAAGGAGTGATAAACTTTTAGAACATAAGCTATTTGTAAGTTGGGGGGATACTTCCTGTGCTTTAAGATCTCCATATTTTTCTTCATTTTGCAGATGACTAAAAGAGGCTATTGACCTCAGTTCTGAAGAAGACAAAATGGGTAATAAAAACAGTTTTAGAACAAAATGTCCCTAAATCTTAAAAAGTGTGGAATTATTAGCAACTGCAGTTCAGCTGCACCTTTTTCTACTCTTGAGCTTTTGAGACCATTTTAAGTTACAAGAACATTTAGGGAGGAAATGCAAGGGAGTGTCTTGAGATGCTGGATTGGATGATGGTATTGGACCTGCTCCCATTTGGGGACAAGCACCCATTTGACTCCTATAGGTAGTAATCATTGGGTTTCATGAGGCATATGATTGGTTTTGGGATAGTTAGGATCTGTAAGCAAAGACTAGAATTTTTTCTTTTCCTTTAGGGTTTTCTTAAGTGCTAACTTGGGAGGACTGAATGCCCCTTACTGCCTGCCATATGTAGTTTGCATAAAGACAACATTATAGACCAAGCATTAGAAACTCAGAATGAAGATTTACATTTTAGGCTCTAACCCAGTTATGAATATGGGAAAATTTACTATCCTATATCTACTTAACCTGCCTCTGGTTTTTATGCTCTCTGTAAGTTTTGAGTGCTTTGGATTATGACAGAAAAGATGAAAGTTTTATAGTGAACATTCATACTCAACAGCTAGATATTCTACAGTGAGTATTTTACTTAATCATCTTTCTATTTGTCCATTACTGCTTTAAAAGCCGATACAGATTATGTGCTGGTCATTATAATAAAAGAATGTTATCATGTTCCCCAACTCCACGATAAAGAGCATCTCATTTTTGGAAGCATTTATTTCTGTAGTATTTGAACATAATTAGCATAAATATTCTTTCTGTATGATTCTCAATTGGATGCAGATTAGAATAAGATTCAGTTATTCTGGGTTTTGGTTAGTAACTTACATGAGTACATCATTAGTCAATACATTAGCTCATTTGTGTTAAATAACTTTGCTGATTCTGGTAGATATTTTTTGTTTTTAAGCCACTTTTTTCTGAAAGGTTTCTTTTTATTTATTTTTTTAATTGATTTTTAACAGAGAGAAAGAGAGAGAGATAGAGAGCTAGAAACGTCGAAGAGAGAGAAAAATCGACCAGCTGCCTCCTGCACACCCCCTACCGGGGATGTGCCCACAACCAAGGTACATGCCCTTGACCAGAATCGAACCTGGGACTTTTCTGTCCGCAGACCGACGCTCTACCACTGAGCCAAACCGGCTTCGGCTGAAAGGTTTCTTTTCTAATCATGTATAATTTCCAGGGAGTTAAAAATTTATTTAGAAAGTGGTAATATTGTAGAATTGGGGGTGGGGGGAGGCTGGTTAAATAAGAGTAAGGGTAAGGGTAAGAAAAGGCTCCTATATTTTAGGTAGATATTGGTTAACTGACTGGTAGACTCGCTAGGAAACCTAACAAC